TCAACTGCTTATATACAGTGTTGACACCATCCCAAGATCAAATGTAAAATAGTTTTCTACTACTGAGACTTTGTGAAAATAGGTGTATAAAGAAGAAAAGTGTTGAAAAGGAGAAGGGGCTTGAAATGTTTTTATTAAAGTGAGCAGTAGCACCCTGGTCTTCTTAATTCTTGATTCTTTCAGTCAAATATTTGAATTGAAAATTCCAGCTTAAGTGGAAACATAAATGAGAGTGGTTGTTAATAAGGAAGCTGTATTATTAGAAGAGTTCTAATAAGGGAAAGAAAAACAACAGTATTCAGAAGACAGTGCTGCCACGGAGACACAGTAGACATTGATTCATTCATTCATTCATGGGTTCATTCATTCATTAACTATTCATTGAGTGGCTAATGTATGCCAACTGTGTTTTCAGGCACTGGGGTAAAGGAGACCACCTTGAAAGCTGCCTGGTATTAGTCTTGCCTTTCTGAGCACAGACGTTTCTCATTCTCTGAGAGGTGTGAGCAAAAAGAGACTTTGGGACTGATGGCTGGTGACCAGGTTTTTCCCACATGTGGATTAGAGCAGTGGTCCCCAAACTTGGTTGAAAATTGCGACCACCTGGGTCACTATTTTTTTTAGTACAGACTTCTGAGCTCCACCCCAGGCCCACTGAATTGGAATTACTGAGATTAGGAAAAATTCATCTTAAACAAGTTTTCTAGATACTTCTGAAAATTAACAGGTTTGAGAACTAAAACTTTAATGTCCATCCTGTTATTACTTTGTGAGGTTGCCTTTGTGATCTTTAGGCTCTTCATTAACATTGGAAAGATTTTTCCTAACAGAGTTGAGGAACCAGCTGGCTTTAGTGAAATATTAACATAGAGACTCCTAACAATGTGTATAGTCTTTGGAAAACATCAGGAAAAGAAACTCAATGGACCAGTCCTGAATCTGGGACCAAAAGCAAAGATCTTTTAAAGGCAGGACAATTGAAATGTATAGAATATTTGCTATGTAATGGGCACTTTATTCACTTAATCTCATTCACACTCTAGATAAGTACAGAGTTTTTGCTAATGCCTAATAGGAGAGTTGTACACAGAGCCCTCACATTCTGCAGCAAGGCTATGCCACCTGCCTGCAGTGAAAGCCATTTTCCATTTGAAATATAGCCCCCAATAGTCTGAGTATTATAAGATCCATTAGGTCATTGATTCCCAAAATGGAGAGCACCGTATATCAAGGCTAACTGTAAATGGATAGCTGCCACATTACAGAACCACTTAGAAGTGGCCTTAAGGATAATGGTGAAGGGAGAAGTTCCCCATTGGGAGAGGGGAGCAGTACAGTTGAATGTTCACTTTGTAGAGGAGGAAGTGGATAGAAGTTAAAACTGATGGGTAGTAATAAATTGCACGATCAGAGAGATGAAAAAAAGCAAACTTGGAAGATTGTAGACAAAGTGAGTTGAATGAGATGAAGAGTCATGTGGAAACACCCATGGTAGTGGCACAAAGTAGGCGGAGCTTTTTATCTTGGGTTTATGCCTTGTAGAGTATCTACTACAGAGCAGGCCCTCAACAACCAGCTAAACTGATATCTTCCCAATGGAGGACAATCATTCCTTCTCTTCAGCCACACAATGCCTATACAATGAACATGAAGAGAACAACTCTGGTGGCAAAGCTGGTGGCTATGCATAGGCCTCCAGAATAGATTGTCTCTCCCTAAGACTGATCCATCAAAGTTCTGCTAGTAATGAATACCAAACCTCCTAGCAACAACAGTGACCTACACTGTGCTCACAGTCTGCCAGGTTGGTGGCAGATTGATGATACCATTATCCCTTCACTCTGAAGGAGGCAATCATGCATATGTATTTATCTTTGTTCTTTACCATCAAAATGCTTCCCCAAATGCCAAATCTATCTTTGTGTAGATGCATCATCACAATGTTTACCTTGAACTCTGCACCATATACTTCCTTTTTTCCTCCTCAGGAATTTTCTGTCTCTGCAGCAATAAATGTACATTGGACGCTACTTGACATTCATAGATATACTATCCAAAATTTCCAGCGAATCAAGCTTGTGAGACCACTCCTCAGAAGTGAAAAAACTCAAAGAATCAGTACTTTCTCCTTTCTTCTGCCATGAAGACAGTTCTTCACGGCATTTCTCCAAACACAATGTAAGGTCCCAAAAGTATCAAGACAACCTGAAAGAGCTAGGGTGAGTGTGAGTTGATTACTCTTGACTGCATTGTGCAGTTTTGCAAGATATAAGCCAGGTAGAAAATAGCTGTTTTTCAGGTAGAGGTCAGCTAAAAATAATAACTCTTCAACATTGAAAGCTGACTGCTTCTAGATCCCAAATAATAAGAGATAAGACTGAAAAAAAGATATCCAGGGGCTCCTGGGTGACTCAGTTGGTTAAGTATCCAACTCTTGATTTTGGCTCAGGTCATGATCTCATGGTTCATGGGTTCAAGCCCCTCATAGGGCTCTGTGCTAATGGGGCAGAGCCTGATTAGAATTCTTCCTCTTCCTTCCTTTCCCTTGTTTGTGTGCTCTCTCTCAAAATGAAAGAAAGAAAGAAAAAGAAAGAAAGAAAGAAAGAAAGAAAAAGAAAGAAAAAAAGAAAGAAAAAAAAAGAAAGAAAGAGAAAGAAAGAAAAGAAAGAAAGAAAGAAAGAGAAAAGGGAAGGAAGGAAGGAAGGAAGGAAGGAAGGAAGGAAGGAAGGAAGGAAGGAAGGAAGGAAGGAAGGAAGGAGAAAAGAAAAGAAAAGATAAGAAAAGAAAAAAAAGAAAAGGAGATCTCCAATTGTAAAAGACCTGGTATTTCTAAGTTAAACAAATTGATTCAGCTATGCAGCAAAAATCATATTGTATTTGGTATTTCCTTCTGTAATGTTATGAGCCATTCATTATAAGTGCATTTAGTTTCAACAGTTAGCCACCTAATATTAATCAGAGAAGAAGATTATAGAATATGACTCAACACAGATAATGCTACAGTGTTCCACTTTGTACCATGATTTCAGTTGAAGTATGTGTGCCATGCTAATTATAGAAATTGCAGAAATTCCACAGAGACCTCTGTTGGAATGATAACCATATACTCTGAATTGTATATCTATTACCTAATACACAACAAATCACAACTCTGATCATGTTAGCTAATGAGTATCTCTTTAGTATCTAAGAAAATTTTTTTTAAAAATTTAAAGACTGTGTGTATCTCTATATAGAGAGTTATAGGTATAAATATGTATATATATATATATCTGTATCTGTCAAATATATGTATAAATATAAAGATTTTGTTTGCAATGAAACAGTAAACATCTATTATTTTCTCCTGAGAATGGTATTTGTAACTTTGGTGGTTACAATGAGGGGCTTATGGGGTTGGGAATATTTTACGACATGGATGGTTGTAAAGACTAACTCAGAAGATGGAAAATAGGGAAACCTTGATTTAGTATATGATCATATTCTTAGGTTCTTTTTTCTATAAGACTCATATATATATCCCTGTCACCCACCTGCTCATTCTAATACTCTGGACAAATTAGTTAAATTCCTAAATCTGTGTTTCCTTATTCCTAAAATTGAGTAAATAATACCTTTAGAAAATGTGTTTTCATACTGTTATTACAGTTAATCAGTAGACATATTAAAGATCAAGAGTAGAAAAGCTAAATTCAAAAGTAAATATTTCATAGAAGTTGGGACAGTCATATAGATTATTAAATTAATGATCCTCCAATGAATCCAACCTTAAATATACACATCCTTTTTTTAAAAATAGTTTATTGTCAAGTTGGTTTCCATGTAATATCCAGTGCTCATCCCCACAAGTGCCTTCCTCCATGCCCATCACCCCCCTTTCCCTGGCCTCCACCCCCATCAGCCCTCGGTTTGTTCTCGGCATTCAAGAATCTCTCATGGTTTGCCTCTATCCTTCTCCCCCACTATTTTTCCCCTTCTCCTCCCCCATGGTCCTCTGTTAAGTTCCTCCTAATCCTCCTATACGTGCAAACATATGGTATCTGTCCTTCTCTGCCTGACTTATTTCCCTCAGCATAACACCCTCAAGGTCCATCCATGTTGCTACACATGGCCAGATTTCATTCTTTCTCATTGCCATGTAGTATTCCATTGTACAGATAAACCACATCTTCTTGATCCATTCATCAGTTGATGGACACTTAGGCTCTTTCCATGTTTTGGCTATTGTTGAGAGTGCTTCTATGAACATTGGGGTACATGGGCCCCTGTGCATCAGCACTCCTGTATCCCTCGAGTAAATTCCTAGCAGTAAATATACACATCCTTGTATAGTTCCCTCTCACAGTGACTCAGGGCTTGGCCATGTGACTTTCTTCGTCCAGTGAGACATTAGCAAATGTGACAGAAGCACACAATTGGTTAAGTACATGCATATAGGGGCTTAGCTGCTAGGAATGCTGCTGTCAACATGTAAGATTCCAGGGTTGACTCCTAAAGAGGAGAAGAACCATGTATCCCAGCCAGCAGTACTTGCTAAACACTGTCTAGAACCATCCAGCCTCAGCTGAGTCACTCGATGACAGTAGCTACTTAAGTGGATCCCAAGCAAGACCATCAGAAGAACCACACAACAAAGCCTATTGTGCAGAAATGTGAGCAAATAAATGGTTAATTAGAGCCACTACATCTTGGGGTTGTTTGCTATTCACAATAGTTACCTGATATTTTCAGTAATCTGGTAAGAGAAACCTTTCATGCTATTGATATTGAAATCAGTAAATGATAACTAGGAGGGACCAATCATATACATTAAAAAACATATACCATGCACATGTAAATTAATCAAACAGCAAATACACAAAACAATCAGAAAATATATTTTAAAATGGAATAGCAAACATGAGGTTGCCTTGTTAAACTTTCCATGGTGGATTAGTACCTTGTGCTGCATAAACAAAACCCAGAATACATGTATAATTTACTGAGTATGTAGAACTTACTGAAACATGATCTTCTATGAAGCATATGTTGGAAAATCTTGCATACAGATTCTTCACTTTGTGTGATAGTCCTGCAGGTGCACTGCGCTTGAAGGATTGTCCCCAAGGTACCAATATAAGCTGCTTTGCAGTCATCACTCTCTGAGCAACTGAGGTCCTGCTTGCTTAAGGTACTGATGCAGAGTTCATCTTCATGGCACTTTCTAGTCACGTGCTGCCAGCATTTCCACTGAAATGTTCTATAACGCCTCCTAGGAAGAATTAAACAATGGTATTGGTCTGAATAATATCTCACAATAATGTGTGGAGCTGCCTCACCTAATGAAAGACTGACATAAAACAAAAAGCCCTCTAAATGCCAGTACATAGCTGAAAACAAAGTTTGTATGTTCAAGCATCCCAAAAGAGACTGTAAAAGAAGAGAAATATTGTGAATTATTTTCCTTGTGTGATGAAATACAGACGCTAAGTTTTAGATTTCCTGGGTGAATCATCCTTCATTACTAATTTTATTTCAACGGGTGATAATGAGTAGTATGAACTACATGGTAGACTTATTAGCAATATTTTTGAAGCAGAATTTGCTTTTGTGGCTAACATTTGGTCAGTGTCTCTTACCAAGTGATTTCATATAAGGCACTTTACCATTCCAGCCAATTTTCCTACAGCATGGGAGGTACTGTACTCTTTCTCAGTATTTCTAAACAGACTAACTAGTATTTACAAAATACTTTGAGCTTCTCTGACAGCAAGAGCTAATTTAAAGGAAAACATTATGCATTTATTTAATGACCAAGAATCCATTATAACCATAACCATTCATAACTTTTCTATATATTTGATTCTAGCTGTTCTAGCCTTGAATAAAAGTCTAGATAATATACAATCATTTCATTTTTAAAAGTTTCACAGAAAGAAGATATTCTCAGTGGAACCAAGGATATTAATCTTCCTAGTTAATATTGATCACCTAAAATTACTTCTTACCCTTTTGTGAATAGGTCACCATCAAACATGCATGAAAATTCCCTGAGTAAATGACATTTATCTTGAGCTTATTTGTCCACAATATGCTACTCTGCTGAAATCCATAAACTATTTTTAATAATCTCATATTTTAAGTAACCCTAAAGGAATCAGCTTTTTAATGTAATGGCAAAGATTTATTAGTATCTATTAAAATTTATATTTAAGAAAATCCCACATATTTTTGAGCCAGCAGAAAAAAATATGTTCCTTTATTTAAATTAAAGGTTATATAGAAATGTCATGTAAATATAAGGATTGACAGTTTGGCTTATCATTTATGAATTGATAGAGAATAAATTTGTACCTAGGTGTCATTTGTTCATTTTTAAATGCATATTTTGCTACATTTAAGTTGCGGGAGTTATTTACTCATGGAAGTTATTTCATTCAGAAAATTATTCATGAAACCCTGAGAAAATTCTGAATTAAAGAATATCTCAAAATTGGGGGCGGCTGGGTGGCTCAGTCGGTTGAGCAGCGGACTTCAGCTCAGGTCATGATCTCACGATTCGTGGGTTCAAGCCTCGCATCGGGCTCAGTGCTAACAGCTAGCTCAGAGCCTGGAGCCTGCTTCAGATTCTGTATCTCTCTCTCTCCTACCCTCCCCTGCTCATGCTGTCTCTCTCTCTCTCTCTCAGAAATAAATAAAACATTAAAAAAAAAAGCATATCTTTTTTTAGGGTAGTTCTTTTAATTTTTAAAGAATTATCTTAAGATTAAAAAATCATAAATTTAGTACACATTATTTATGAGTTAAATATGGCAAAAATTATATGATTTTAGGTTTAAATATTTTGATGTACAGTGTTTCATTATCTTTATTTTCTTCATATTCTACAATTTTCTATTATTTTGTTCAAACAATTGTTTATAAGTAATTTGTTGAAATGGAATTATTTTGTTTTCTTTTTTTCCTATTAATTTCTGTTTACATTACAAAATGTAAGAGAATGCAGTTACTACAATTTCTGCACATGGAATGTATTAGATATGCTTTTGTGACCTAATATATTGCCAAATTTTGTAAGCATTGCATGGCACCTAAAATAAGTGTATACATTGTAGAGTTTTACTTTTAAAAAGTGGAATTTTTTAGGGACACCTGGGTGGCTCAGTCAGTTAAACGTCCGACTTCAGCTCAGGTCATAATCTCACGTTCATGTTTTCCAGCCCCGCATCGGGCTCTGTGCTGACAGCTAGCTCAGAGCCTGGAGCCTGCTTTAGATTCTGTACCTCTCTCTCTCTGACCTTCCCCTGCTCATGCTGTTTCTCTCACTCTCTCAGAAATAAATAAAACATAAAAAAAATTTTTTTAAGTAGAATTTTTTAAGAAAATACTTTTTTTCCACTACTTTCTTGAGTCATACATATAAAACTATAAGGTACTATAATTTTCTATCAGCTCCTAAACACTTATAATTGGCAAAATAGGAGAGTCTAGTGGCTCAGTAGGTTAAGCGATCCACTTCGACTAAGGTAATGACCTGGTTTGTGAGCTCAAGCCCACGTTGTGTTCTGTGCTGACAAGTGAGAGCCTGGAGCCTGCTTTTGATTCTGTGTCTCCCTCCCTTTCTCTCTTCCTCCCCCACTCTCACTCTGCACCTCTCTCTCTCTCTCAAAAATAAATAAACATTTAAAAATTATAATTGTCAAAACATAATCTCATTCCCCCTCCCCGTATACATCTATTGGACAAAATTAATTGAAAAATAGTCTTTATACTGCCTTCTTTGACCTTTTTTCAAATAAATAAAGGAGTTTCAAAAACCTAATATGTATTAAAGAATCTAGAACAGGGACAGAAATTTTATTTTAAAACCCAAATGCTCTTTTCTCCCCAAGTACAGTCTCTTCAGCCAAAAAAAGTAGCAGATAAAAGACATAACATTCTCACTGAAGAAGTAGATTGTCATGTGGATTTTTTCATCTGAATTACATTAAGTTAATATAATTGCTAGAAATTTTCCTAAAGCAAAATTTGCTTGAGCGAATGACAGGATTTTTCTTTTCACCTTGGCTACTAATATTGCATACTATATCCATCACCTCTATAAAATATTCATTAAGGGACTATTTGCACATGGTGAAAAGAAATCTAAAGTACACAATTCTTACTCTCTGAATTAATCCATGAAAATTATATAAGAAGAGACATGTATACATACAATAAAAATCATGAAAATTCCAAGATATGCAATTGCATAATTGCAGGGTATTCAAAGGTAGAAGGAAACAGGATGACATCTTTTAAGTGCCTCTAGTTTTGCAGACTGTTCACCAAGCATTTTGGAGAGGTAGTTAAACACAGGAGTCCTTGTGCAGAAAAATTACCAATTCTGTATCAATCAATCTGAAAAGGCACTGATGCCCAGATGTGTTGAATTCAAAAATGTGTACTTCAGAATCCATCATGGCGATCCTCAAGGATTGTAACAGCAGATCCCATCACTTGCCAGTAAAATACTTAATTTTATAGGGAAGCTTAGATATATTATGTTCTGAAAATTAAAGGCAACTAACTTTAAGAAAATGAGGAAGTATACCTAGAGTTTTGGCACTGGAATTTCATGGAGACATCTGGTATTTTTACAGGATTGCTTTAAAAAAAAAAAAACAAAAGTTTTCCTGGCTATTAATATATCATTAGTTTTCATTATTTGTATAGGTATATAATTAACAGAAAAATATAAATATTCTACTTGTGATATGATAAAAAGTATAATCAAACATTTTTACCATATTTCAGTGATCATAGGAGATACCATTATCTTATTATAACTGAAATAACTTTTTGGAAATTAAATTACAATTTTAATTTAATAAATATTTTCTTTGAGCTTAAAGTGATTCCAAAGATTTTAGAGATATTAAAATGTGTAAACAAAATTGCTTCTTAGAATCAATGAACTACAATATTTCACTGAATGAGGACTTTTGAGATACGAGTTTAAAAAATCTAAACTGGATTGTAAAAAAAAATATTTTTATCCTGAATTTTATTATTCACTCAAGAGATATACTTAATAAACCTCAAAATAACTGATAAACTTTTGTAAAACAGCATCCTCAAATATAACTTTCTTCAGAACTTGGGGAATCTATATGATAAGCTGACACAAAAACTATGTCAATGTTCTAGTCCTCTGCTTAGATCTTTGCCCCTTATGTTACAGAATATGTAATGCAGAAAAGCACCTGTCTTTTTTGACAAATATTTAGGAGATCTGGAGCTATTCTGAAAGGTGGAATGGCAGAGTAAAGCAGTATAATTAAAAGGCTATAGAAAGCAGTTTACCAAGAATCAGTCCCTTTAGGAAATTGATGTTAAATCTTTTAGGTATTTACCAATGGTTAAGGCAAGGTGACAAATGTGACAATCCTTGCTCTCAGCTATCACACACTGGACTACTCTTCTACGTTAAATGTTTATTTTGATCTTTAAATGATTTTGCTATTTATGGAATTTTATTTGTTTAAATGAAATTAAATAAAACAGTCCCTGCTAGAAGGTACTGGGCAAACTGTCATGAAGAACTATTCCAAAAAGAAGCACAAGATGAATCCAAACATGATATGACTTAATACTGGTTGTAAAATAAAGCTCCTTTAACACGGTAACAGCAATGTTACAAATCATTTTGATTCATCAAATTTATCCAGTATTCTTCTTTCTTGGATTTTCTTACTCATTTAAGAGGTCCAATTAACTGTGGATTTCTTACCATACAAAAGATAAATTCATCTTGAATATACAAGGAAATGTGTTAATGAAGACTGTAGTGAAGAAAAGAAAAAAGCCAGTGTTGAATTAGATTTATGGTTCCTGGGAGTAATTACCTGGAAAATTCAGCCTAGTCTCAACCAGCAGCAAAAGTGGAAGTTTTAATAAGTGAGTCAAATCATTCATACTTTTGCTCAAAGCCTTCCAGAACCCGTCCATTTTACTAGGAGTCAAAACCAAGTCCTTACTATCCCTCTGGGCCCTAGGTGATCTAGGCCTGCCTGTCTTACATCCAGTTAATGTCTAACTGCATCTCCTCTTTCTCTTCCCCATGCATGCTCTGCTCTCATTGCTTTTGGAACATGCCCTATTTTTCCCCAGCACTGGCTGGTCAGTTTGGTATCTCTGTTTTCAGATGCTTTCAGAGAGACTCATTCCTCCACTTCCTTAAATCTGGGAAAATGCTCCTTACTGGGACCAAGCTGTTCACACTGCAACTCTTTCTGCCCATTCAGAGTCTCACTTATTCTGTTCTCTCTCTTTGTGTGGTAATCTCCAGAACACTCATTGCCTTATACTATAATACCTATTTTCTTTATTATCTCTCTTCCCCCACTAGAACATAAGCTCTGCAGGACAAGTATTTTTGTCTTGTGTACACTGATGCCTAGAGTAGTAGGTGGTGCTTGATAATTATTTGTTTGATTAAACAAACAAATGACTACTGTTACTCCCCTGAAAATCAAAGGTATGAGGTTGGGAAGAGGAGAATGGGTAAATTTCTGACATCGTGGTATACATATGTGCTGGGGATGTCTGGACTGGACTCAAGCTACCTTTTCTTTCCTGATCTCCAGCCTAGGAGTGAAAGATTAATTCTGAAGTTGGAAGACTCACCTTCTCAAAACTCTCTGACATTCACCAGCCTTATATAATCACAACAAAAACCAAATTAAACTTATATGTAAGTCAAGTCTATTTGTTACTTCATTAGTCCAACTTGAATTTCTAATTTTAGTAATGCTATTTTGTGGCTACCAAATCTTCACATACTGAATTTACTTATTCTGAAAATATATTCTGCATTTGAATTTCAAAAAGGATGCTACACATGTACCACAGATTCAAAATATGAATGTCTGGCTTTGTTTACATCATGTTGGATGATGGTGGGAACTCTAGCTAATGTAATGAGATCAAGTGTTAGGACTGGACTGTAACAAGTAAGGTGCCGAAATAAGAAAGTAAAGTATGCGTGTTTTTACTCACCTGCATAATTCATCATTTCGGCAGCTGCGAATTACATTGAGGCAAGTAGGGGGTGGAACTATGTTCACTGCACATGGCTTGCTGTGAAGAGCTTCTTTGGACTGCTGACAAGGTATATCAGATTGAGCACAGTCACAGAAAGCCAACATCTGGGCAATGTTAAAAGGCATATTTTGATAGAAGAACCGTATGGCTGCTTGGCAGTGTTTCACATCACACAGATTTCCATTTGCTGAGCAAGCTTTAAGGTAAGGGGCCAACTGTGCATTACAGACCACATCCCCTACACACGCCTCTGCCACTTCCAAACAGGACTGGATCCCTTTGATTCCTGAAAACAAGGAGATGTCCAGGTCGTGGAAAAGTAAACATAAGCCTGTACCTACAGAATCTGTAAAACACTGTGAGAAGTCTACGAGCAAAACACAATGATGTACCAAAGTGCTATTTTGGGCACACAGTGTGTGTGTGTGTGTGTGTGTGTGTGTGTGTGTGTGTGTGTGTGTTTTAAGAATTAGTATGAATTTACTGAGGCCTGACTAGTGGGTTCTTTGAATCATCATTCATTTATACTGGATACATATTGTGATCCAGAAGTGATGGGAAGTGTGTAGAGCCAGAACAGAGTGGAAAAAAAAATTTGAGTCCAAGTTTCTCAAATGTAAACAATAAATCTTCAGAAATTGCATTTGAGGTACATTGCTTATGGTGAGCTCATGGGCTCAAATCAAAATGATTTTTGTATGTTCCGTTGTACTTTCTATTTTGGGTGAAAAATTGACTAAAGGTTCCACATGGTTACATAGTTATTCTAGCACAGAAATATGTTCACATTCTGGAAAACACAGATACATGTAAATGTCCTCTTTCCACCACATATACACAAAAGCAGTTAGCCTCAAATAATTTATGTGATCAAAATACCAGTGACATTTAACCAAGATCTAGTTTTTGGTTTTAATTGTCAAGTATTCCTCAACATAACTGTAAACAGAGGATGGATGGGGGACGCAAGTTGCTTTGATACATGAGTGGAACAAATTCAGAAATTTTGTTTCATTTTGCAATATGAGACTAGTAAAAAGCCACACAATATATTCAATATATTCTGTATTGGCCTATCTTTAAGAAAGCTGGTAACTATGTTTTAGGTCACTTTGTCTAGTATTTATAACACAGAGGGAAAGTTCAATGTATAAACATTACCATGATAGGGAAGAGTGGTCAGATTCCACTTGGACTGATTATCCTCTTTCATGTTATCTAGAAGGAAAACAAAGAGACCATTTCATTAGTGACTGATTTTTTTAAAAAATTAATAGAAGTATCCAGGCTACATTTATAAATGAATAATCAAGCAAAAATATGTACAAGCTCATGGAACACTTATTTAAGCCTTGATACTCAAAGTTAGTGAGGTGTAGATGAAGAAAAATCACCCCCCAAAGTATCATTCAAATGAGTTAAACAGCCCTGCACTGAGGATTCAGTTACTTGCAGATTTAAACAAATGCTAACGACCAGGCCATGTGCACTGAAGTAAACAAAGAATTTGGGGAAAAAGAACAGAAGGAATATTGTCTGAATCAAAAAAATTCTTTCCAGCAGGGTCTTAATTAAATTTAAATGTAATTTAAGGATGATTTCCACCTATGATTATCTTAATCTCTTAGAGTTGCTAGGAATTACAGAGTTAGAGAAGTGCATTGGTAGAAGTCAACTCAATGGCCAGCTACCTCTAAACTCTTTCATTCTAGAAGTATTGGTTGAGACCCTCCTATGTACCAGGCACCATACTGAAGACACCAATGTGTGGTCTCTGTCACGAAACATCCACAGCTTGGCATAGAATATAGACATATAAAGAAAAACCCAAACAAAACATAAGAAGCTCTATTCGACATATGCCTAAAGTGATAAGGAAACAGTATGCTCAGATTTGCATTTTAAAATAAAAGTTCAGAGGCACCTGGGTGAATCATTCAGTTTAGCATCCGACTCTTGATTTTGGTTCAGGTCGTGATCTCATGGTTTGTGGGTCCGAGCCCTGCCTGGAGCACCACACTCTCAGTGCAGAGCCTGCTTGGGATTCTCTCTGTCTCCCTCTCCCTCTGCCCTTCCCTTGCTCTCCCTCTCTCTCAAAATAAATAAACTTAAAAAATTAAAAAATAAATAAATAAAAGTTTAGGTGTTGCCATTGGCTATTAAAACATTGACTTCCAGAGCACCTAGATGGCTCAGTCAGTTAAGCATCCAGCTCTTGATCTCTCCTCAGGTCTTGATCTCACGGTTCATGGGATCACGTCCTCTATAGGGTTATGTACTGACAGCACGGGACTTGCTTGGGGCTTGTGATTCTCTCTATCCCTCTCTCTCTCTGCCCCTCCTCCACATTCTCTCTTTCTCTTAAAATAAATAAACTTAACAAAATAATGACTCCTGTTATTCTTTCACAGTCTATCCAGGCTCCTTGTATTGTTCCGTCTGTTCTCACTATATATGGCTTCTCTTTTTTATACCTATAAAGTCTAAGCTCGAGAATCAGTGTTTCTAGGTCCACCCTGCTATGTCTCTGAGGAAGCCTGAAATGTTCCTTCTTTTGTGCTATTTTTCCACATTGAGTGAAATCCCAATAAGCAAACCTCAGAGAGTCCTACAACTTTTACAACAGATATAAAAGTCTAGGCTAGACCTCCATTTCTGTTTTGGCCCTAAGTGGTATGGCTATGCCACTGATTAAATACAGCATTCTAGAATATATCATTGCAGCATAAATAAACCCTGAATTTACTCACTTTTATGGGCTGAATGTTTATGTTCCTCCAAAATGTATACTGAATATGGAATCTGTGACAGTACTTCAGGTCAAATGAGGTCATAAGAGTGGGGCCCTGATCTGATAGGATTCTCATCCTAATAAGAAGAGACACAGAGAGCTTACCTACTCTTTGCCCTCCTACACACATGTGCACACGGGTGCGTACACACACACACACACACACACACACACACACACACAGTAAGGAAATCTTGTGTGAGGATACAGAAAGAAACCATAAAGTCCATAAGTCAGGAAAAGAGAAAAAGCACCCAAAAGCAGCCTGACTAGACCAGGATCGTAGTTCTAGCCTCCAGAACTGTGAGGAAATAAATTTCTGTTGTTTAAGCCACCCAGGCTGTGGTATTTTGTTATGATGGCCCCAGAAGACTCATATATTCACTAAGTGGTAATTATTGTAAACACAACAAAACATTTATTTTAGCATGGGAAAATTAATCCCATCATGGATGTGTACTATTTTATATGCTATGAGTAATTTAATATAAATTCTGTGCACATTAAATTCTAATTTGATATGGTACATACATGTGTACATACATATTTTTCCTGGAGGATATTTTAAACAGTAGCTTAACTGCAGAAGAGGAGCTAAAGGGCAATATGTCATAGAACTAAATAAAAGAAAGTACCAATCAGATCAACCTCTGAAATAGAAGATCATATACATCAAAAGAAAAAAAATATGCATGCTCTTTCTCATTCACCCACTAAAGTCAAAATATATTCAGAATCTGCTCTCTTCTCACCTTGCTACCACCCTGGTCCAAGATAGCATGAATTTCTCTAGGTCCATGGTCTTATGTATCATCTAGAAGTGAATGACACACCCCATCCCTATTGCACAGATCTCATCTTTTTATTGCATACATAGAATTTTGACATTAAATCCATACCTGGGACTGCCTAATATCATGTATTTACTTGGGTACCTAATAAACATTTCAGACTTAACCTGTCCAAAACTGACATCTGACTTTCTGTCCCTCACTGAAACCTTTCCTTCCTGTATTGTTCCCGTGGTAGTTAGCAAAAATAATAGCAACCACATCCTTCTAATGACTCAAGATAAAAACCTTGTGATTAACTTCCATTTCCTGTCTTTCTTGCATTTCCACATAATTTACTACTATTAAAATATATCTGGACTCTGACCACTTGCCACCGTGGTTCATTGTCTATCACTTTTTTGCTGCATCATTATACAAGCCTCCTAACTGGTCTTCCTACTTGAGTCTTTGCTTCTCTTCAGTCAATGATCACATGAAAATCAGAATTATCCTTTTAAAGGTATAAATTAGATCATGATGATCTCTTCGTGAAAATTCTTTAGTGATTTTCTGTATCACTCAGAGAAAGAACCAATAACCTAGAAATAACCTAGAAAGTCCTCCATGATCTTGCCCTTGTCTTATCTCTGATCTCACCTCCCACATCTGTCTCCCTTATTCTCCCCTCTACCTATGAGTCCCCTTATCTCTTCCTCAAACTTCTAGACAGATTTCCAGTTCCAGACCTTTGATTCCGTTTCTTCTGACTTAACCACTCTTTCCCGAAATACCCACAAGGCTCATTTCCTAGCTCTTTTAATCTGTGCTCAAACATTAACTTAAGAGTATAGCTGTGACCATCCTATTAAAATTACAAACTAACCACTCACACCATTTTTTCCCTCTGTTTCAGTTTTCTCCTTAGCGTTCATACTGTTTGAAATATTTATCTTAAGTCATTTATCCTGTTAATTTTCTCTTTGTCCTGTATTGGTTGCTGTGCCACACTATTAAGACACCCCTTTTGGTGACACAGGACCTAACACACTGTAAATGTCTCATAAGTATTTGTTTAATGAATGCATAATGCATGAATGAATGAATGAATGAATACAATGAACATTTTTTTGGGGTGCTTGGTTGGCTCAGTTGGTTAAGCAACCAACTCTTGATTTCAGCTCAGGTCGTGATCTCATGATTGGTAGGATTCGGCCCAGTGCCAGGCTCTGCACTGAACATGGAGCTACTTGGAATTCTCTCTCTCTCTCAATAAACAAACAAACAAACAAACAAACAAACAAATAAACTTTAAAAAAAGATGATGCTAAAACCTTTTAGCATTTCTCTCTTTCTTCATAATCTCTTTTGGACATAATCTCTTCATAATCTCTATTCATGGCAACAGTTTTTAAAATTTTAATTTTCTAAGAGAAACAGGATAAATTACAAAGCTGGAATTAGAAATTAAATATTCTTTAGTTAATTCATATTCATTATTACTTACTTAATGTTCCTAAATTCTTCTTTTGCATACAAACCTGAAAAAGTTTCCTGGTTGAATCTATCTTCATAGTCATCACTGTAGGCTGGAGTCTTATTCATCTGAGCATCCTGTATACAAACATCTTCGAACAAACTTTTCCAAATTTCAATACACTCTACTTTTGAAGGATTGTTGCAATGACAATTCCACAAAATCGTTTCTTTCAGACTTTCTCTTAATGCTGAACACATATAGCCTCCATCAAGGGTTTTGCATTGTTCTGATTCTCTCCCACAGGTTTTCTTAAAATTTTCATACAACAGAGTGCAGTGTTCTGATTCCTGGCAGATATGTGCCGCTGTGACACAATCACTCCTTTTTCTCACCATTAATGATGTGTCTTTCTGTTGGAACCACTGTGTGGTATTTAACTGTGAAGCCAAATGTAAAGACGGCACTGATTCTTCTATAAGGTTAAAAAAAAAAGAAACCAAAAATTAAATAAGTTAATTTAATCTTAGTAACTGGCCTGGGTGGCTCAGTTAGTTAAGCATCCAATTCAGATTTGATCTCATAGGATTCCTGAGATGGAGCCCCTTCTTGGGCTCTACGCTGACAGTGGGGAGCCTGCTTGGGATTTTCCCTCTCCTGTTCTCTCTGCCCCTTCACCATTTGTGCATGTCCCATGCGCACTCTTTCTCTCTCAAAATAAATAAACTTTAATAAATAAATTAATTAAATGTGTATAGATTTATCTTTTATAAATATTCTTATATCTATTGTCTTTCAAAAAAACCATTATATTTTTTCAAGAGAGCTATTACAAATGAACCTGAGTTTTTAAAAATTGAAATAAGGGGTGCCTGGGTGGCTCAGTTGGTTAAGTATCCAATTCTTAATTTTAGCTCAGATCATGATCTCATGGTTCATGGGTTCCAGTGCTGCACTGGGATCTGTGCTGAGAGTACAGAGCCTGTTCTCTCTCTCTCTCTTTCCCTCTCTCTCTGCCCATCCCTTGCTCACACTCCCTCAATCTCAAATAAACAACATTTTTTTAATTTGAAGTAAAACAGTGATTTTTTATAGTTTATGCAACCACTCAATGGTAATGTTCAATCTCTTTTAATGACATTTGATCCTCATTATTTATTTTTATTTTTTCATTACATTT